GCCTTCTTTGTACAGCCTTTAGGTCAGCTCTCATCTCAGCAAATGAGTTTACTAATTCTACTTGGTTCTCCTTTATAGCTTCTATTTCATTTTTGACATATTTTATATCTCTAAACACTATTTCTTTCAGTTCCTTAAGTACTTTGATCACTCCTTTTTTTGAAATCTTGATCTAGTAGGCCATCAGTGCCTATTTCCTTGATTGTGCTTTCATGGGATTTCTCTTGCTCTTTTAATTGGGAGTGGTTCCTCTGCTTCTTCATATTGCTCATATCTCTCTGGCACCAGTGGACTGGCGGGTCACTACCCCTCCTGATGTCACAGTCAGATACTGCTCAGGGCGAGGCAGGTGGGCGGATTGTGCCCCCTCCCAGCGTGGTGATCAGGTGTTGTGTTCCTGCCAGGAAGGCAGGTGGCTGCCCCACCTCTCCTGGCGCCAGTCACTCAGCTGCTCTGTGCAGCTGCCTACTCCACCTCTGGTCGGCACTCCGTGGACGGGCTCGGGGAAGACTGCAGAACATCCCCGCCCCTGCTCCATGCCAAATCTCAACTCCGTGTTTGTCTTGGCAGTGTAAGTTCTCTGAGATGCCAGGGCAGAAAGATCCTATCTGCCTCGGGCTGTAAACAAGTCTCAGTCCTGCCTAGGAGGTTGCAGAGCCCCAGGTGCAGATTCAGGTCTCGGCCCCGCCCTGGCCTGGGCGCTGCGCACAGGAGGATATGGCAGCTGTGGCTGCACCCCGCCTCTTTTCTTGTGAGAAGCTCCAGTAATGGCACCGCGGGTCTGAGGAGACAAAGGCTACAGTGTCCCTCCCCGCAGGGCACACCAGCTGTGTTGCTTTGCTTTTTTCACAATTTATGGGGGACCGAGATTGTTCTGCTCTGTATCGCATCCCAGTCATGGTGCACAGCACCCTGCAGTCCCCTGGGGCTGCCTCAGTGCAGCTGCCCCAGTCCTCCACCCAGCTCAGGTGACCTGTCCTAGTCTCCAGCTGCTGGTGTCTTGGGCTGGGTGTCGCAGGGAGCCTTTGTGCCCGTTTAACTTACTTCTGTTGGTCAAGGGGTTCTCGGGGTAGATCTGAGCCTCGGAGGCTCCCCCTCCATCCCATTGGCCTCTCCGTTGGAGGGGGGAGACCCAGCGAGCAAGCGCTATTCCTCCTTTGCTGCTCCCTCCCCGCGGGACCGGTCCCGCACTGTTTTGCTTTTTCTTTTTTCCTTTTCTCCTACCAGATTTTTGGCATCTTTGTCTTTCGAAGAGGGCGATGTTCTGTCGGAGTTCGACAGGTGCTCTGATTGGCTCAATGGGTCCATAGATGTGAGTTTTGGTGTATCTGTGGGAGAGGGTGAGCTACAAGCGTCCTTCTGCTCCACCATCTTGCTTCTCAGGTGGCTGACTCCTGTGCCTCCCATTAGTCAGTTACTGGTGGGGGTCACCCTCTTGGCCCCAGGACAGGTTGTAACCTCCCAGGCTTTTCCCGGGGTCTCCTGTCACTGGAGGGCAGTTCTCCAGGGAGGGGTGTCACCAAGAGCACTTAGCAGCCAAACTAAGAGCAGCTGTAGCAGCGTCCACTGGAGGAGAGAAGGAGCACCCCCACCACTTCCTCCCAGCCCTGTGTCACAAAGGCCGAGAAGGAGAATGGCCACAGGAACAAGGATCA